TTGAATGAATCCGATTGAAACTGCCATGTTCACAGCCCACTTGCTGATGATGCGCCAAACCAGTCTCCACTAGTGGACTATTTTGACCGCAACCATAGCACAAACGCAAAGAACATATCACTGCCAATCACTCCGTCCCAGGAGTGTACTGGAAAGCGAGGTTGTCAGCTGGCATCGACCTCGATTGTCGCACGCAGAATTCTGCACACGTATTTGCGATGCTAGAGCTTACCACCACGACCGATTTTTGACTATATGGTCATGAATTATATTTGAATCAATACAGGATAGATTCGAGGCTGACCTTTCCATGCCGATTGGGAGAAATGGATGCAGGAAACACGTCCAATTATTGAAGGATGCGCAGTCCACAATGAACAATCTGTTTCACGTCCTTTTCCGTTGCGGCTGCGGGCCTTGCACAGCGATATTCGACAAAGATCCACGATCTCCGCTTGTGTGGCATACACAGGCTGTCTGCGCCAGACATGTCCGTGATAACTTGCTCCCAAGGGAGAAGTACGTCTGCACTTGTTTCAATTGCACTGTGGAGCATATTAAAGGGCAAATTTCGGAGCCCACCACAAGAAAAACCGAGTTGCGACACTTAGGATATTCCGGAGTTGCGTGCCTGGCTCAAGTCTACAATCAGCTACGGGCCGATGGTGTGGCAGGCGCCTGGCTCGACGCCTGGCTGGACGCTTCGTGGCGTGCGTCGAATACCCCATCCTCTGTCCCAATGACACAGACGGCTCCGAGAAGAGAAGCAGCCATGCAAGAACATGCTGATACACAAGACAACCAGAGGTACGACGCGAAGCATTGCCAGCTGGCTAGACTGTGCCTCTCACTGCAGTTTGACAGTGCTAGTGCAGACGTTGATGACAGCGACATGTATTACGACGACATGGGTTTCAGCAACATGGATACCAACGACATGCAGCACCCTGATGCATTCGTTTCAGACCGGTGGCTGGACTTGAACGATTTGGACGAGAGTGACTCTTCTGACGACGACGACGACGACGACGACGACGACGAGAGCGAGGCCGAGAGCGAGGATTTGATCAACGAGCAGCTCGCGATCGACGTTGTCGACGAGCTTCGAGCTTATGCGTTTGCCATGGCTCAGGATCAAGCGGAGAAAGACACCGACTCCGCGGCGCCCAACACGGAGGCCGATGAGTATATGGGCGAGCTGATGGAACGCCTACATTGCCTTCGGAGTAAGTCAACACTCCGGATGTTTAGCCAGACCCTCGCAGGGTTGGACAATTTCCTCCAACGATATAACAATGATCTCAGGAAGACCTTGGTCACTGGACTGCGAGCGCACGGGTTGAATGACGAGCAGGAGCAGAAACTAAACGAGCTGTTTGACGACCATTTTCGCGCCACGGGTACGAAACGAACAACGCAGCTGCCCTTGCTATCGATGTCACGCGTCCCATTCACTAACCGCATCTTGTTCGTCTCTGGCAGCGATACCTGCGACTCCGTACTACTTTCAGCAGGCCCTCGTGCGCGATTCCATGGTTGGACAGCGGACAACACCCGAGCCCGAGCTAAATGCATGTGAGCGTATTGCCAGCCTCCAACGCAAGTATGCCGATTATGCTACTGCCGTGTGGTATCATACTGGCTGTCGATGCCATCCTACGGTTCAGCAAGCTCTGTCAATGTGCAAGCTCTGTCCGTGTGGGAACGTGACCTACACCTGCCGAGCCAGCGTTTGGATCCTCGACGAGGCGCCATCAACTCGTCAGCAAGACAAGCTGGAGTGTGATAGTAATCCTCGCTGCACAACGCTTGTTTCGGCACGTATTTTGTGTATTTTCCGCTAAAGCCGCAGCTGACCAAGTTGTTTGAGGACCCTGAATTGGTCAAAGGCTTGATCGATCGATATGGTGATCTGAACGATGCAACACATGTCGACCGTCTGTTCAGGGAGTGGCCCGCCGTGTTTCAGGAATCTGCAGGATTGCCTCAAAAGACTCATCCCCTCCAAGGCGAGCATTTCCAGAAGTCATCGCGGCTCGACTTCCTCCATGAATCCCCATGGAATCTGTCACTTTGCTTGTTCTACGACGGGTCAGTTGGTTGTCAGCATTTGCTCGAGACAGATGTGGGAGGGAGACGATGGTCTCACTTCCAATGGTTGGTTTGGTAGATTTCAAGCATTCAACTCATCGAGCGTCCAGATGCACACTGTGTGTGTGCGTGTGCTCAATTTAAATACGACGCTGGCCAGCCAAGCGCACTGTGTCTGGGTGTCGTCGCTCATTGATGTAGGTAGACTTTTTGCCATTAATTTTTATTGATGCGACTGAGACGCTGTCAAACTGACTCGTTGTCACCGACCTTGCCGACGTAGGGCCCTGAGCTAGCTAACCTAGACCAGCTGATGGCGCCCCTGATCAAGGAAGTCAACGAGCTGTCGTCGCGCGGGGTTGACTTGCGAAATGCATTCACTGAGACCGCCGTACGTGTCAAAGCTCAAATCCAACTCCTGTCAATGGATTCTCCCGCTCGTGCCAAGGTGCTGCACATCATGGGCCACTCGGCCCAGCTAGGATGCAACTACTGTCCGAGAAAAGCCGGCCCTTGCGAGTGCGGCCATCATCGCAACTGGGGCAATTTGACTGCCACGCAATACGCCAACTACGATTACATTGACCATTCCCAGCGCAAGCCAGGCGGTGGCGCGTCTTGTTTGCGGGGATTGACCAACTTTCCAGCCAACGGACACGTTGAGCGGAGTATGTGCTCGTTGGATACGCTGCACAGTGTTCTGCTTGGCAGCTGCAAGCGACTTCTGAGCAACACAATTAACAAGATCCTCACCGACCCACGGGCCAAACAGAAAAAACTGGCAAAACTGGATGCGTCATTGAAAGAGACAACCTGGCCATCCTTTGCCATGCGAGTCCCTCGCAAAGTGTCGACACAGCACGGTTTGTACACGGGCGAGGAGATTCTGAATTTCGTGCTGGTCTGCGCAAGATGGATCTTTGCAGACATCGCCGGCTTGCCTGGGTATCATCTGATGTGGCTTGATATGGCCGACATCGTGTTCATCTGCGTGACAAAGGCCATCGACATCAGCAGAATCCCAACGATCGAGCTGGTCATACAACGCTACATTGAAAGCGCCACGGCGGCCAATGGTCC